AAGGTAAACTTGTTGATGTCATAGCTGGACCAGACAGTTATAAGGATTTGCCAAGGCTATTGTCTGTACCAGATGATGAAACAGCTATTAATGTTGTTTTATCATTTGATGAAACATATGCAGATATTACACCAGTGAGATTAAATCCAAATTCTACTAATGCATATGTGTAATTTATTTTTCTTTTTATTGATACACTACCATCCAAAAATTTGGATCAGTTTTGCATAAAATCATCCTATTAATTTTGGATAAAATCATCTTTTCTTGACAGATAAAATAATGCTATTAAAAAATAATACTAATATTTATTATTTATTATAAATACTGACATTTATTTATGAACTTACTTTTCAAGTTATTATTTAAATTATATTTATGATCACGCATCTATTTTTTTAATATGCAATTATTAGGTGCTCCAAATTTTTGATGGGTAGTATATATAATTTACAATTGATTGTCACTATCTTTATGTATTTTCTTTATATTTTTTCAGCACCATAATGCGTGGTTGCGATAACATGTGTACATATTGTATTGTTCCATTTACAAGAGGAAGGGAAAGATCAAGACCCATTGAGAGTATAATCAAAGAAGTTCAATCTTTGTCTGATGATGGTGTAAAGGAAGTGATGCTTCTCGGGCAGAATGTAAATAGTTATAGAGATACATCTCAATCAGAATTTTATGTTAAGAATAATATGGAAACGCATTTAGCAAAAGGTTTTAAAACAGTATATAAAAATAAAAAAGGGGGACGTCGATTTGTTGATTTATTAGATGAAGTTTCTCGTATCAATCCAGAGATGAGGATCAGGTATTAAGAATTTTCGTGTTTAGAAATATTTATTGATTTCAACTATAAATCATTTTTAGATTCACGTCTCCTCATCCGAAGGATTTCCCAGATGAAGTTTTACAGTTGATAGCGGAAAGGCCAAATATATGTAAAGAAATACATTTACCTGCGCAAAGCGGGAATTCCGCGGTTTTGGAAAGAATGAGAAGAGGATATACGCGAGAAGCATATATAGATTTGGTGTATCACATACGTGAAATTATTCCGAATATTTATTTCTCTAGTGATTTTATTACTGGATTTTGTGGAGAAACAGAGGAGGAATTTCAAGATACGTTATCATTGATAGAATTAGTGAAATATAATAAAGCTTTTCTTTTTTCTTACAGCATGCGGGAGGTAATATACAAAAAAATATGTGTTGAATTATATTTGAAAAATATAATTCATCACACGATGAATCTTTTATTATTAATTCTAGAAAACGACTGCACACCGTCGCTACAAAGATGATGTACCACCGAATGTGAAGAAAGATCGACTTCAAAGAATAATGTCAACATATAAAACGGAAGTGGAAAAAGTAAATAAATCACAGATTGGACAATTACAGCTTGTACTTGTAGAGAAAGTAAGACAATTTACAATTTATTGTAATTCAACTTTGTTGCAAAATCAATATAAAATTTATGATGTATCAATAAATATATAATAATTAATTTCAGCCAAGTAAGCGATCAAACGAGAAATTTCAAACAAGGAATGATGGTAACACACGAGTGTTAATTCCCTCCATGACTATACCTACTGGAAAATATTCCGATGACTCGAGAGCGATAAAAATTGGCGATTACGTTGTTGTAAAAATCGAAGACGCTAATTCGAATTCGTTAATGGCCACGCCTCTCTATCATTCGTCGATAACAGAATACGCATCTTCATCTGTGTCGTAAAAATGTAGAATATGAGATTTCATTTGTTATTTAATTACGCTTATCATTGTACTTATAATAGTACACTCAATTTCGGAATGAATCACGTAATTTTAGTCGTACAAAATTAAATCGACGTATTCACTGATGTGATAATATTGTGACATAATACTGATATAATAGTATTGTGAATAAAGAAAAAAGAATTTATATAATAAATAATTCAATCTATTGTAAGTACGTAATCTTTCCTTGTTTATATGAATAATATTCATAATTTTCTAACAAGATGTTACATACCGATTAAGAAAGGGTTATTCATACTTAATATACTCCATTTCTAAAAAAACATTATCAGCTCACAACAAAACTTTTTTTCACAATAAATACGATCGATTTGTGACGATAAATTTAAACACAGATTCGCTAACACTTTACAATTTAACGTATGTTTATAAATTATTTACATACACTATGTTTTATTCTTTGAATCATTTTGTACAAAATTATCTATTAACAAAATAATCAATTTAAATTTACAGATACATTAAAAAAAAAAAAAAACAAATTATATTAACACCTGAGTAGGTATCATTATTAACTTGTACAAAATATCAATGTCTTTGGAAGTACAGAGTTCATTTCCAAACGATACACGTTTTGTATATTCACATTGATGAAAATCATACACATTTAAACGAGACTCGCAGTTCCGATATTAATAACGCAGTTGTCGGCACCACGTTCATAGACCGTAAGATCATGGTTCCTTGGTTGTTCCAACAGTGCAGCCAGTTGTTCTCCACTGGGGAATGCGTTCGGCGTAGTCGGAAGAATCACGTCGCATTCTAATTGACCTAGTGATAAGAAAAAATTATAATAGAAACAGGAGAGAATACGAGAGAGTTTTGAGAAGATATATAATTAAGATTTTCAGATCAGAAAACATAAAATCGATGACGCGATTACCTGACAACGAGGGCGAAGCACCTTTGCTAGAACCGTACATGCGAGTGCTATATCCGGAATCATTGTGTGCGTCATGCAAAGGCGGCGTCGGGCTGTAAACCGCGTTACGGGACCTATATGGCATTCTGGCAATGCTGTCGTAGTGCACATGTTCTGACATCCCTCCTTTGCCAGAGATCCCGCCGCTTAATGCCTCGGGTTGTTCGTCGTCTCCCTCGCTGCTCTCGCTATCATTGCCTATGTTTGCAACATCGTAATTTACTAACTATAAAAATGACACCAATTCCTCTCGGATAAGTTTATATTTTAAATTAGTCACATGAACATGTCAATCAGATGATAAAATGTTACGAATGAAAGTAAATAAGAATCAGCTTTACCTTTAGAATGAATAAATTTGCACTTTTCTAAGAATCTCAAAGGACGAATTGGTTAAGATTTTAATTATCAATTTGGAAAATATGTGCAATGTAACTTCACCTTCTCCACGCCAGCTGTTTCCAACACCACCTTGTGGTTGCACTCTCTGATTTTGGGAGCACTGGCTGTGCTCTGGACTGGTGGGTTCGCTGCTTCCGGAACGCGGAGGACCCCTCCAACCGTTATGCATGCCAGGTACTTGTTGAAATCGCTTAATCATCTCGTGAACACTACGTCGCCCGGAAGATTTCCACTCGTTCGGCGTGTCCTCGTTCTTTCGTGTTGCGTTACTTTCGTCCTGGCATGAATTTTTGCCATGATCTCGAGATGTAAGATCCTGGTGACAGTTTCTTAATTTCAAACAATCTTACAGAAAC